TCATATTTAATTCCTTTCAAAAATTTAAATACACCTTCATATCCTTTGAAAATACAGTACATCTTTCACAACCAAAGCGCAACCAATAAAATAAAAAAATAAGCATAAACTCACAAGACAGGCATGAAAACAACAAAAATAACACCACAGGTTTGATTACAGAATGCACTGACAAATACGGGAACCACAAAAAAACTAAATGTATGCAAACAGAAACAATCTGTATAGAAGAGTGATTTTAGCACTTAGTTCAGTTTTCACTACTTGTTACTGATGTGAAAAAAAAATCAGTGAACGTTAAGCTCAAGGATGTTTTAGTTGGAAACGGCAAATGGCAATTGAGGACTTCTGGGACACAGTGTTCTTTTCTGGGGGGCGTAGTGGGACAAACAACTTGACATTTAAAGATTTTCAACTAAACAAAGCTGCAGACGGAGACATAAAAAGAGGAGGAAGAGAGGAAGCTGAAAATGATGAAAAAGAAATGATGAAAAGAAACCTGACTAACTGTTCTGTCTACTTGGCTTTCTGTGGATTTCAGAGTTTAAAATTGGAATCAAACATTTGCTCCACATTCCACCACTACAGTGAGATTCATGTTTACTGCTACATGTATGTTGCTAGTACGTAGTTACAGCATGCCAAGTTTCCCAAACTGTAATATTATGTTCACATGTTGACATAAATGCAGTTTTTTAGAGTTCGAGTGACAGGAAATCCATCAAGCAAGCCCAGTGTTGGAACACTAAAATTACACAGTGAGACTCCATATCCTGCTTCTTCAAATAATTCTATTATTTTTCACAAGCATAATTTAAAAATACATTATATTTTTTACATTGTAAATTGTTGCACTATTCTCTCTAAAATGGCCTGTTTTAACCCCTGTCACTTTAAAGGTTGCCGTTTTCTGATTGGTCAGCTGTGGATCCAGTAACCAAATTTGCTACTAAATTACATCATCTCAATGTGTTTTCACAGTGACTTCATAAGCTTTTTATAAGTGATCTGTTTTACTGGACTTTGCAAAAGTGATTATCATTTTTCACATTTATTTATTTCATCTACAACATTACATTCAAAGTCATTTATTGGTATTTTATGAGATCGGTTAATGGAGTGTTGCATCTAATTCATTTAGAGTAAAGCCGAAGCTCAAGGTCTTCACACCAGAGGGTAATAATAGTTTAAGACTAACACTCCACATTCAACTTAACACACCATCACCAGTATGAAACATGGTGGTGGCAGTATCATGGTGTCATCCTGAGGAGAAAGGTTTACCTTCCAGCAGAAGAACGACCTGAATCATACAGCCAAAACTCCACTGGGTTAGTTCAAATTAAAGCAGGTTTTGTGCTTTGAAAGGCCCAGTCAAAGTCCAGAGCTAAATCTAGTTGGGAAGTTGTAGGAAAATCTAAACAGTGGCTTGTAGACACTCTTCATCCAGTTTGAACATGAGCCATTTCCAAAGAGGAAGGGGGCCTAAATTTCGGTTTGTCAGTGTGCAGAGTAGCTAAGAAACCCCACCCATAAAGCAACTTCTTGTTGGTTCCTCCAACCGTTGACCCGATCCAACCTGCAACATTTCCACTAGGTATGGATGACATAAAATCACCAACAAAGTACAATAAAGTTTGTGGTTTTACAGAAAGCAATGAAATAAAGTAAGCACAGTAAAGGTAGTGCTTTCCACAGACCAGTGATTCTCCTTTATTCTGGTCTTTCTATGACTATAAAGCTTCTTCTCCACAGCCGAGGCTTTAACCGGTTCTTCTCGTCAGCCCGACCAGATTCATCTCCATTTAAAGATTCTGTTTTTTCCGTTTTTTAAAAACCACCTTATTTGTAGTACAAAGCAGATCTAGCCAAGCGATTTGATTGGAAGCAGATTGAATTTCTTGATTTTCTTGATGGATTTAAGTCAACAACATCTCAACCACCGTCTTCAAATTATGATGAGACCATAATATTCATAATTTCACGGTCAAACCTTCAGATCCAAACCTTTTCATCAGTTGTGTTGGAAGAGCCCATTCACCGTCAACTGCTCAGGGCAATGAACAAATTAACCAAAAGATGTCAGAGAATCTGGCCTCCCATGGGTACAAGCACAAAATAAAATATCAGCAATAGAGACACACCCGACTGGGCCAGAACGGAACAAGATATTAACCGCAGAGAGTGAGACTTTTCATTGGAGAAGAAGCTCAACACACCAGAGTGAAGCCAAGCCGGCCCACATTGTTCCCCCCAAACCTTTCTACCTCTCTGCTCAAACCTGGAATTTCAATCTAAGCAAATGTCTATCTAAAAACTTCTAGGGAAGAGTTTGGATGTTACGCACTAGAGGTGTTGCTTCTGTAGCACTCTCTTTTGGATCAATTTAGATCCACGGTAATCAGTCACACAATGTTAAATGTGAGTGAACTGCAATATTTTCATGCTTAAATTCTAGCAGTAGTGGCGGTCCCAATCGTCCAAAGATCCAGTTCCAAGAGAGGGTAGGAACTGCTGGAGAAAACATGATGTATGCAAAAAACTTGGACATTGAAATATGTGGAGTCTTCCTCACTCATCTGCTCGACTGAGAACTGAAAGTGAATCTGTGTCAGGGATTAAAGGAAGGCCTGGGAGTGACAGACAGACAGACAGAGTACATTTACCTAAAGGAAACAAGTATCTCATTGAGTATTGCACATGGAGTTTTCTCAGACCTTTTCTGACCTGCAACATAAAGTAAAGCCTCTGAACTTCAGAGGTGGGAGTGATGAGTCTCTGAAGATGGGAGTGTCACCGAAATTTATCACACAAACTCTACAGACAGCGATGACAACATAAAGATGCTTTAAATAAAACTTAAAGACAACATGACAACAGCTCTCTGCATATTGTAAACAGACAATGCAGAGCAAATACATTCAGTTTCACGCATTCTTCAGTCACATGAACCCGCCTGGACTCTGAGTACAGACTGCTGAGGAACGATACAATACTTCCAATATGTCCAATACATCCAACACATCAACCGATCGCAGCCGCCGCTCAAACAAAAGGTGTTACGGAAACAAATGGTGACCATCAAGCTGCTGACCTGATGCCTGGATGACCAACACACTTAGCAAATATTCTTTTGGTTTTCTGGCTTAACAACCTGGTGAGGTGAAGAATCCAGAGACATTTCATAAAGTTGGTTCCTCAATATTTTACATCTACGCCGAGGGTACAGCAAATCAGAGTCAATGAACATGTATGCTGCTCCCTGATTGTCTGTTTTGCTAATGATAGTCAGTAGCATGTTAAGTAGCACAGGGCATGGGTATTTCAGCTTCCCACACTGCATTTTCTTTTGATTATTTTAGATTTTTGTGGAAAAAAAATCCATATATAGGCGAATTTTCCGTGAATATGTGGAGTGGCATTCACTGTATTTTAAAATGTTGTTTGACTCTTCACCTCACCATCACCTTCACAAGCAAGGTGACTTTTTTTTTCTTTGGTACGAGCATGTCCATGTGACAATGCAGGAATCGTTTTTCAATGAATAAAGCCAGATTTTTATATAAAGGAATGTGATAATTATCGTAAACCACCTTCAATGTGTAAACGCTGTAGAATCAATGGTGTGGAAATACTTAAATTTTATTCTTTCAAAGGACAACCTGACAGTTTCAAATCCTGGTTAGAGACATGTAGGAATGTATAAAGAGTCTTTCTTATGGTACGAATATGCCTCAAGGTTTATTTGCGATGTCACACAGACCAGATTGTTTCTATTTTTAATATAACTAGATGTCTGAGTCAGTGCAATGCAGAACCAGTCAAACTTTTTCCATATTTTCTTAGCTGAAAACCACAAACTTGAATTTAAGTAGATTTTGTTTTGTAAGAAACTAACACATGATAGTGCATAAAACTTGGAAATGAGTGGCATCTATTTGCATTCAGACCTCTTTAGTTTGATATTTATGTCTTAGAATGGTCCAGTCAAAGTCCAAACCTAAATTTAATTGAGAAAATATGGCATGTTTTGATGTCTTCCACACAAAGACTCTGGGTTTCCTTTAGGACAAATAATGGGTTTGAACTGATTATTTATCAAAACATGGAAATCCATATTTTATTTATCTTCCACTTTACAGTTATGCACTACTATGTGGTTCTATTATGTGAAAAAGGAGAAACTTTTTCACATAAAAATGTCAAAGTTTATGGTTGTAATCTGAAAAAACTTGAAAAAGTCCAAGTGGTAACTCTTCAGTGCATCATAACTGGATTCAGGTAAACGTGTTGAAGACAGTCTGAGAGTGGAGGAGTCTGACAATTCTAATCATTATTATTTACAGAAAATAAAAGTTGATAAACTTTTTTTTCTACCTAGTTTTAAACCAAACAGGCCATGAAGGTTTGCTTTCCCATTTGAGTTGCAGTGGCTCCCTAACTAACATCATTGTCTGAAAGGGCTTAACTCGGCAACGGACGCTCCCAGTGTCATGCTACGTCGGGCTCAGTTAGCAAGAAACTAATGTACCATTTAGTAAGAGCTGGAACATCAGTTTCCTACGATGGTGCATTGTAGAAAAAACAAAAATTGTAAGGTTGGGACAAAAACATAATGAAATTTCCTACCAAAAATTCAGAAATATTTTGAAATTTCTGAGTTTGAAAAGTCAAAAATGTTAGATTTTTGACTCTAAGAAATTTTTAAAACTCAGAAATGTCCAAGTTTTTTCTAGAAAATTTCTGAGATTAATCTAATAATTTCTGAGTTTATTGGTGGACAGTTAAAATTTTTTTTTCTATATATGATGGCCCTAATACGCCTGCTTTCTCTCCATTCTTTGCTTCAAATAAAGCATTGCTAAGCTAAAATTAAAGCTTAGCAATGCAAATGTTGAAGACTTGGTGCCTCTTCCTAACATTTCCTTTCTTGCTTTGATTAAAAGTAAGACATCAACTTCTCTGCCTTTCCTCGCTTCATTTTTCAGGGAGTAAAGATCTTTTTTTTTTGCTTTAAATGTAATTATTCATTCATGTCTTTGCCATTCAGACACGTTCAAGAGAAAAAAAACAAAACATTCTTTACAGATACAGGACACGTCACATCGTGTGAAGGAATGAGCATCTCTTTGGAGATGCATGCACACACCTGCCTCATGCTGCTGAAGCATACAGTTATAGTTCGTATGAATGGACAAACAAAAACACAGGATCCATAATGAAGACACAATGGTCTAGTATAATTCCTGGGGTATTTGGGATCCAACATGTCGGCAATCTAAGATGTTTCATCTCCGAAGTACGAGAATCCTTTGAATTCATCTTGGTTGATCTGCTTGATGATGCTGTCATCCACGGGCGTCAGGACAGGTTCTTCACGTGTAAAATCCTGGTCAAAGTTATTGACGTCCCTTTTGGTTTTCTGTAAGAAACAGAACATCAGATAAGGTCCTGCTTGGTCAGATTTCAGCCTTTGTACTTGTGGGACTCCTGCAGCCGTGTCAGCGGTTTTTAACCAAGTTAGAAAACAAACAAGAACTTTCTTTGGAAAGGATTAGCACACAATCTCCCAGACTGAACTCACAATACGAGGTTTAAACGGCGGCTTGATCTTCCTCTGGTCCAGCAGCATCCAGTCAATTTCTCTGAAGAACGGATGGAGCTTGATGGCATCCTCACAACCTTGTGCTGCCACACAGCCCAGACGCTTGTTTGGACTCTTCGTCATGAACTGTCAAACACAAGGAGACAGAGGATCATTAGTTTAAAGGAGCAGCGTGGAAGGTTTAGTAACATCTTGTGGCATCAGCACAAACTGCAATGTATGTAGAAACTAGAAAATTCCTGAAGAAATTTAACTGGGGCCTGCCGGTTTTTAATAAAGTGTTCTGATGCTAAATATTAGCATTAATGCTAAAGAAAGCTGCAATGTAGACAATTACCTAAGGAGAGTCAGAAGCATGTTGACTAAGCTGTACTTGTACCATTCAGTATGTTGCATAAACTAAAATTAGCCAAAAATGCTAATAATAGCATGAATGCTATCAGTAGCATGTGGAGTATCACTAGCATGTTGTCTGTCATTGACTTACTCCATTCAGTATACGAAACATTGCTAATAAGTAAGAAAAGCGTTCTGATGCTCAACATTAGCATCAATGCTAAGCTGAGCTAAATTGTAGTCAAAAACCTGTGGAGAGTCAGAAACATGTTCACTAAGCTTTACTTGCACCATTCATTATGTTAAAATTAATGCAAAAGCTAAAATTAGCCAAAATGCTAATGTTAGCATGATTGCTATCACTAGCATGTTGTCTGTCATTCACTTAGTCCATTCAGTATACTAAACATGGCTAACAAGTACAAAAATTAGCTAAAAGCTTATTTTAGGTAAAATGCTAATGCTAATGTACTGGCTTGCGCAAGCCAGTTCCATAACCTGAGAGAAAATGCTAATAAAGGATAATATAATAACTAACTCGAGGGAAAAAGATAATAAAAGCTATTATTGCACTGCCTATGGCCTATGGTGGTGCACTTACCTGAGAGGATTATTGAGGCTTTTATTTTGAAATTTTCATTAAGCTTCATTTGAAATTGCAACACTAATCCTGGGTGTAACAGTGGTTTGGTTAAACCAGTTATCTAATGCCCAAAAGAGCAATTACATGATGTAAAAAGTTTTCAAGGCTTTTGTTTTGACATTTTCAGTAAACTTCATTTGAAATGGCCACAATAATCCCATGTGTAATAGTGATTGGGTTAAATCAGTTATATAATGCTCAAAACACAAGTAGTTCTGAATACCAGCTAAGTCCTACTCTGTAGTAACAGACAGTTCTGCCATGTTGTAGTTCTTACATGCTGCGCAGGCCTCTCTTTTAACTGAGTCTTTGCCATAGATAAAACTAGTTATGGCATGTTTCTAGTCCTAAGCAGCTCCTCTGCTCTGCTCTGTGTTCTGTTGCTACGGTAATTAATCCCCTGCCAACTGCAGCTGTGAGTGACAGACAGTTCCGCCATGTTGCGTTCTGACATTCTGCTCAACTGAGTGTTCAGGCATAGTTAGAAACTACAATGATGGCGTGTTTGTAGTCCTAAGGAGTTCCTCTGTAATCCTAAACGGCTCCTCTGCTCTGTGTTCTGTTGCTAATTGGGGCCTGCCCATAGCATTACATAGGGAAGAGCAGCAAGGCAGTCACTGCACCTAGTGTCACTGCCATTACATGGCAGTCACTAGGTGCCTGCCATGTAATACATGGCAGGCACCTATTGTTCTACACCTAATAGAACATTTCTTTATTTCTTTATTTTTATTCCGTCATCGTTAATGCGGCTCGTACTGCTGCGTGCAATAATATTAGCCTTTTTTATGTTTGTTTTCCTCAGGATAGTGAACATTAGCACAAATATTTGCATTTCACTGCCCTTGACTAGTGCATTAGCATTAGCCTTTTACCTAAAATAACCTATTTGTTAATTTTCTTACTTATTTGCCATGTTTAGTATACTGAATGGAGTAAGTCAATGACAGACAATATGCTAGTGATGCTCCACATGCTACTGATAGCCTTCACGCTAACATTAGCATTTTGGGTAATTTTAGCTTATGCACTGATTTTAACATAATGAATAGTACAGGCACAGCTTAGTCCACATGCTTCTGCCTCTCCACAGGTTATTAACTACAATTTAGCCAAGCTTAGCATTGATGCTTATTTTTAGCATCAGAACGCTGGGTCCAAACCGACGGGCACACTTTGGCAAGCCCCGGTGAAGTTTCTTCAGGAATTTTCTAGTACTNTTTTTATTTTGCTAAAAGGAAATAAACCACAAGAGCAGCTAGTAAGGGGATTGTTAAATATAATTTAGAAATGGCTTCTTTATTGAGTCCAAGCATCACACTCTCATAATAAAGTACCTGTAGAAGTGAAAATCATCACATCTTTAGACATTTTTAGAAAATTGTTTAAATCGGGGCTTTTAAACAAACGTAATGGATTCATGCTTTAAATGAACGTGTTTGAACTAGTAATTGTTTTGTGTTTCTTTGTTGATGTGATATGTTTATTTTTATCATTGGGGCCTTCCCATAGCATTACATTTAAGGATTGTTTATCATTACTGAAACCAACTGCCGCTCCGCTAGAGTGAGAAAAAAAGTGGATTTCTGACCCCAAAATAATTTTTGAATTGCCGCCACGCCTACAGGTATCGCTCTATCGGTATCAAAGTCAGTCATGACATTGATACGCATGCCTGCTCCCGTAAAATGTTTTTGAAATTTCCCTAGGGCGTACTTTTTTCTTTCAAGGTGCTTTAGAGCAAAGTCATGGGACAGGATAATCTGACGCTCTCATCAAGTCTTTTCCATACATTTCTTTTACATTTAAATTTCAATTGCATGTAAATTTGAAATTTACATGCAATTTTTACATTGCATGTAAAAATCATGCAATTGCATGATTTTTACATCATGCAATTGCTCTATTGGTCATTATATAACTGGTGTTACCAAACCACTGTTACACACTGGATTAGTGTGGCCATTTAAAATGACTCTTACTAAAAATTTCAAAATAAAAGCCTTGACCATTTTTACATCAAGCAATTGGTCTTTTGGGATTAACATGACTGTTTTAACCAAACTACTGTTACACATTGAATTAGTGTGGTCATTTAAAATGAAGCTTACTGGAATATTCCTCCCACGTTAGTGCACCGCCCCAGGCGGTGCAATAATATTAGCCTTTTTATGTTTGATTTCCTCAGGATAGTGAACACAAATTCATTAACATTAGCACAAATATTAGCATTTCACTGTCCTTGACTAGTGCATTAGCATTAGCCTTTTACCTAAAATAACATATTTGTTAATTTTCTTACTTATTTGCCATGTTTAGTATACTGAATGGAGTAAGTCAATAACAGACAACATGCTAGTGATGCTCCACATGCTACTGATAGCCTTCATGCTAACATTAGCATTTTTGCTAATTTTAGCTTATGCATTGATTTTAACATAATGAATGGTACAAGTACAGCTTAGTCAACATGCATCTGCCTCTCCACAGGTTATTGACTACAATTTAGCCAAGCTTAGCATTAATGCTTATTTTTAGCATCAGAACGCTGGGTCCAAACCGACGGGCACGCTTTGGCAGGCCCCGGTGAAATTTCTTCAGGAATTTTCTAATTTCCAACTAATATTAACCTATTCTTATAACATTTGTAAATGATGTGTATGGTTTTTTTGTTTTTGTTTTTGTTTTTTACTGACTGTTTTATGTACTCATGTTGATTAATATTCAATAATAATAATAGAGATTGTGAAAACAAACAGGTATTTTGAGCTCAGCTGAGGTGCTCAGTGGTTTGGAAGAAATTTCTGCCTTCTTGTTTTGCTTTTCAAAAGCTGCAGATGCAATGGTGCAGCTTACAGCAGATCTGAACTCCACAATCTGTGATTTGCATTCTGACATGGCCGCCTGTTTGACTTCCTCCTGAGCACAGAGAACCCCCGTGAGGAAGCTGGTGATGGGCGTGTCTTGGGGGAGGCTTCTGGGGGGGATACAGATACAGTGACATGCAGACAGACGGCATGCTGCCTGTCTGTGCATGCACAGCAGTTTAATTTAGTACATACAGAACCCATTTTTATAATTAGGTGCAAAGTCCAAACATGTCTGTCTGACGTTTGGACTATAAAAATCACTTTATTGTCTGTTGTGTGTTGGTATCTTCTTTTTAAACTCTTGTTTAATGCCTAAAGCTTTCACACATGGACAATAAACCAATAACAAAATATATTGCAGTAAACATGTGATCAATATTAATATGTAATTAATCTGATAGAATATTCAATATTCAACATATGGAATATTCACTGAACTCTGATCCAGAACCGCACAGCATTCTGGGGCATGTAGGCAGAGGGAAGGCTTTAGCTGCTCAAGGTCTCAAAGTGAGCTAAGCTAGGTTGGTGGCATCAACTAACTCACTCACTCTTTGGTTACCTAGCAACAAGCTGATGAGCAACATGCAGTCACTGGTTTTGGAGTACTTCAGATATTTAAAACAGGAAACTAATCAATAATTGATATATCCAGCTATCCACATCACCTGATATGAAACACTTATATCCTAATGAGTTTTCCAGCCATGTCATCCAGCAACTTTCATATATTTTTGGAATTTGATCATAAAAACATACTGTTTTTCATTACCATTTGATTTCGTCTCGTTGAAATCTGAATTGTTTTAGTATGAAACTGACCGTGTCTTTATGGATGTTTCTCTGCAGGTTCCAGCCAGCAGTTTGAGACTTAGAAGAAAAAACATTTGAGGAGCTGGAAGTGGATTACAGGAGGCATAAGAAGCAACTATTGTGAAAGAAAAGAAGAAGCATAAGTGGGAAAATCGCAACGATGGGGAGGAAAAAGATTCAGATTGCACGAATAATGGATGAGAGGAACAGACATGTAAGCAACAAACAACTTTCAGTCAAAATCAGTCTCCAAGTTTCAGAGTTAGAACTACAATTCCAGTCTGAGTGCAGACTGGATGTCTCAGTGTTTTTACTAGAAGCTGAGAACTGAAATAACGTCACGTTTATATGATTGTGTTTAATCTCAGTTCAGTTCTTATTATCCAAAAGTCAATTTACAGATTTCACCAACTGATGAAAGTAATGCTTTAAAGTTGAAACAAAGTAACATCCCAGCGTCCACAGACTCACTGTCATGTGATGTTCACAAGCACTCACTGCGTAGGAGTCTGATTGTGATGCACCAGCTGGCTCATTGCAACATGACTTCTGAGTAATGAGGCCGTGTTGTCTATAGGACTTTGCATGAGTTCATTTTTACACACAAGTGAACATGCAGCAGAGCACGCACACACATGCGCACATGCACACACAGGTCCTGTTTGAGGGAACATTTCTTCTCTTCCTGTTTTGACAGGAAGTGCAAGCACATGTGCTTCCTGATCTACAACAGGCAGGATCTACCCTCAAGGTTCTTCCCTGGACTGTTGATGGGGCATCCAGCACAGTGCGCATAGCGCTGCAGCAGCTTGCAGTTGGACTATTTTTAAAAAGAATAGTAATAAAAAAAAACTCACCAGCCTGTTTAGGGCTGTTGCTAATTATTTTAGTAATTGAGTAATCTACTGATTGTTCTGACAATTAGTCAAGTAATTGCATGAAAAAAAATTATTAAAAACAATATTCATAAATAATGTCATGACAGCATTATTAATATTGGATATCAATATCTGCCCAAATTTTCATATCAGTGCAGCCCTACCCATTAGTTTTCTGTAGCTTAGAAAATTAACATTCAATTTCAAGAGCTCACTTTTTAAATCAACCTGGAGAAAATTACACAAAATCTAAAATTATATTCAATTTAATACAATAAAAATAATAAAGCAGGAGGACACTTTTAAAAAATGTGTGCAGACTGCTCTGGTTTTCAGCTTACATTTTCATCCTGAATCAGTCTAATAGATGAACTCTCATTTTGCAACAAAAGTTACAGCTTTTGTGTCCATGTGATCTTTGGCAGCTTCTTCACACAGCAACATACGTCAGCTCTGTAGATGGCACGGTGCGCTCTGCCACTCCTGAGTTGCCACTTGGGATGATGGGAAATATATTTTCTGGATTGTGCATAAAGCTACACTGTTTAATGTGGTATTTATTATGACAAAGTGGAACTCCCCCAAATTTGGACAGCTAACTGAAAACAGCACACCTTGCAGATCACAGTAAACCTCTGCAGTCAATACAGTCTCTCTTTCATTGTAAAAGTGCAAAAACCTTTAGGGACTACCCAGTGACTGTGCAAAAATAATATGTCATGACTTGACCTGCTCAACTAACTGACTTGTAAAAAGGGGAAACTAAGAACCTATTTTAACCTCTAATCATAATGATGCAAAATCAGAGGCAACAACTCCAAGCAATGCAGAGTAAAATTATTCCTCGTCTGCATTTAAAACAAACCAAGTAAACCAAAGATCATTTGCTTTACCTTCCTCACTGAAGTGTCAGACTAACTGTACTGTTGTAAAAAAAAAAAAAAAAAAAGAAAAAGGGAAAAAAGCCAAGTGGCTACTTTTATCAAAAATGTAACTCTCATGTATAAAACTGGTCCTCATTTTCCTCTTGCCCTTAGGTGACATTTACAAAGCGCAAGTTTGGCCTGATGAAGAAAGCCTACGAGCTGAGCGTGCTGTGTGACTGTGAGATCGCTCTCATCATCTTTAACAGCACCAACAAGCTGTTCCAGTACGCCAGCACCGACATGGACAAGGTTCTGCTCAAATACACCGAGTACAACGAGCCGCATGAGAGTAGGACCAACTCGGACATTGTGGATGTAAGGAAACGATACACACACACACACACATACACTGATAATGTGGAATGGAGATGGTTAGAAAAGATCTTTTAACATCTGATGGAATATTATCTACTGAGCTTTATGTGTCTTTAAAGCACAAACTGTAAGGTTTAGGATTAGGATTTCAACAGTTTCTTTTGTTGTTGTATTTATGATGATGATAAAAAAAATACACTCTCCCATTTGCCAAGTGATCAAGTTTGTAATGTAGGAGGTGCATGTTTTAATTTTTGTTTTGAAGCTTTTACAGCCTGTGCCCTCACAGGCTTTTCTGCTCAGAGCAAGTACAATTTATTCTTGGTCCAACATTTAATTATTTTTTCCCATGATCCTTGAGATGTTTTTAAAAAAAAAAGAACTATGCTCTT